GAAAAAGTGGGGAAGGATGGGCAGATGAGAGAGGAAGAGAAAGGAGGGAGGGATATAGGATTTGAGAAAAGGAAGGAAGGATGGATGGAAGGAAAATGGGACTCAAAAATAGAAGGGAAGAGGGGAGGGAGAGAGTGAAAGGAAGGAGAGAGAGAAAAGAAAGAACTAGATGACAAAAGGGATGGAGGGAGGAAGAGAGGAGGATGGGAGGAAGAGAGGGAGGAAGGAAGGATGGGAAAGGAAGGGCTGACAAACAGATGAATGGAAAGAAGGAAGGAATGATAGATGAAACAGGAGAGGGAGAGTGGAGGGGAAAAGGAGGTTGATTAAGGATGAAAGGAAAAGGAGACGCAACTAGAAAGGGAGAAGGGAGGGAGAGAAGGAAAGAAAGAAAGGAGAGAGAAGAAAGAAGGAATACATGACAAGAGGGAGGAGAGAAGGAAGGAAGGAGAATGGAGGAAGGGAAGAAGAGACAAAGAGAAAGAAGAGGAAGGGAGGAAAGGAGGAAGGAAGGAAGGAAGGAAGGAAGGAAGGAAGGAAGGAAGGAAGGAAGGAAGGAAGGAAGGAAGGAAGGAAGACCTCCCACTATCAAGATTGGACTGCCATTTGTCAGAAATGGTGTAGGGTCTCCCACTTGGGCAGGGAGGGTTGGACTAGATGACCTACAAGGTCCCTTCCAACTCTGATTATCTGTTATTTGTTAAGCAACAGGCCTCTCCTCTCCAAATCTCCCTTTGAATGAACGCTTCCAAAACCTGGGTAAAGTACCACAAATTGGATAAAAGTGGTTTTTCTTTGGGTAGCAACATACCTGCCTATTCTCCAGCACTACAGGGTCCTTTGAAGTATTTTACCTCGTTGAGAAGGGGGAAAAAAGACTTTCTCGGAAGCTGTTTTTTGGGTAGGGCAAGAAAAAGTTTGGGAAACATTGCTTTGTTTCTTCTCTGGAGAATCCACTTCCCTTATTTTGCTCCCTGCCCGATGGGGACAGTGTCCCTTTTTATTTATCCATCAGAAAACACCCTTCTCCTAACAGAGTTGGAAGGGACCCTTGTAGGTCATCTAGTCCAACCCACCCACCCAAGCAACTCCTGAGGTTCTCCCCTCCTTCTCTGCAGGGCTGTCATTCAGAAATGCAAGCCGTTGCTCTCATTTTGCTGCTTCCCGGTCTCTCCTTTTCAGACCTGCCAGATTTGGTCCCCGACCCGTATTTTCTACAAGCATCCACCTACATCGAGAAAGTCCAGTTGTATGCCTTGGAGTGCGCAGCGGAAGAAAACTGCCTTGCGAGGTAGGCCACAAAGCTTGCTCGATTGGTTGTCTTTTTTTTTAATCATCTATAAGCCTCTCCGGGTCGTCTCATTACAGAGAGCGGCAGATACAAATTTAACAGGACAACGGAGTTGGAAGGGACCTCGGAGATCTTCCAGCCCAACCTCTGCTCAAGCAGGAGATCTAAGACCATTTCAGACAAGTGGCTGCCCAGTCTCTTCTTTAAAAACCTCCAGTGATTTCTTCTGGAGATGAGTCATTCCAATGATTATTATTATTATTTTACTGTTAAGAAATGTACCCTCAATTCTAGGTTGGATCTTCCCTTGGTTAGTTTCCATCCGTTGCTTCTTGTCCTGCCTGATTGTCAACTCATAAAACGATCTTATGACTGTTTTGGTAGTTGTCATTAAAAAGTGGGGGGGAGAGGAAGGAAATCTGGAAACTGCAGTGCAGCAGTTTAGAAGCGAAAGCACATTCCAACTCTTCTCTTTAAAAGACTGTAACTAAACGAGCAGAGCTTTTGCCTGTGAATATATTTCATTGGAGAACGTGAATGATGACAACCAGCCCGTGAAGGTGCTCAGTTGGAAAATCTGATTGATGACACGCCCGGGGGGGAGGAGGGAAACAGGGTCACAGGGGACTGTAAATTATGTGTGCCAGAGTTGGCTTCGCACAGGGCAGGGCCACTATGTCCCCTCTAATGAATCCTTTGAAGTTTTGTTTTTTTTTAAGTTTGGCTCGAGAATCACAATTTAATTAGGGCGATTTCTGGAATCCTGACACAGGTGCTTTGGAAAATAAGTTAACGTCCCTCTTCTTCGTGGCAGCCCCTGAGATACTGGAACACAGCTATCACGTCATCTGTAGTTCTCTTCTAAATATTTACAGAATACAGAACAACAGGGTTGGAGGGGACCTTTGAGATCTTCTAGTCCAGCCCTCCTTATGGCATCCTAGAAAAACGGTTGTCCAATCTCTTCTTAAAACCTTCCACTGTTGGAGCAACCGTAATTTCTGGAGGCAAATGATTCCACAAATTAATTGTTCTCACTGTCAGCAAATTTCTCCTTAATTCCAGGTTAATTCTCCTTAATTCCAGCAACCTAGAACTAAGGAGAAAATTCCTGACAGTGAGAACAATTAATCAGTGGAACAACTTGCCTCTGGAAGTTGTAAATGCTCCAACACTGGAAGTTTTTAAGAAGATGTTGGATAACCATTTGTCTGAAGTAGTGTAGGGTTTCCTGCCTAGGCAGGGGGTTGGACTAGAAGACCTCCGAGGTCCCTTCCAACTCTGCTATTCCGTTGTCCCAAAGGTGATTTTTTTTTTCAAGAGGCAACTGGACTTTCTTATTTTGGCTTTGAAGACGTTTCTCTTCTCATCCAAGGAGCTTCTTCAGCTCTGAAGAAGCTTCTTGGATGAGAAGCAAAATGTCTTTTAAAAAAAGAACCCAGAAATTCCAGTCACCTTTAGGAAAACCATGAGCTGGATGACTGAGAGCCTCCGTAAACATCTCCTTATCCTGTTATTTCACTGGTTGTGGTGCTGGTTTTTGCGCACCGAAGTGCAAGAGCCAGTTCTCTTAAGGGGATGTTTGCAAACCTCAGCCTCTCCAGCCAAAATCTCTCCTTGCCAGTGACCAAGGAAAATTACAGTCCGAAAGCAGAATCAGGAATATTCTCCTGCAAAAATTGGGAGTGGGGGAGAAAGGAATGTTTACACTTCAGCTGGATCTAAAGAAGGTCTAAACTTGGGGAAAGTCGTGTGGTTGTCTCTTTTACAGATTTCCAGCTTGGAAAGGGCCAGGATTGAGGGGCGGTTTCCTGTAAACACTTCGACAAAGTGGCTTCTGAGGCCGGCCAGGTGGCATAGAAGGGTCACTCATTCCTCGCCACTCTTTGACTGTTTGCTTAGTTGATCAATTGGTTATTTCTCTTTCTCTGCCCGTCCCCAGCCTTCCCTAGATAACCGATAGTCCTCGACGTAAGACCAGAACTGATCCCAAGATTTTTTCTTTTTAAAAAAAAAAAAAATTGTATTAAATTTTACACTTTGAAAAACAAATCACATTTACAATTTTTGCAGTAATTTATCGACTTTTCTGTATTCATTGACATACATACATCTTATTTTATTTTATTTTTATTTGTTAAGCAATTATAAGATAAGGATAAACATAGTTATGAATGCATGAAATGGGTACATATAAGAAAAATAAAAGAAACAATAGGACAGGGACGGTAGGCACATTGGTGCGCTTATGCACGCCCCCTACAGATCTCTAAGGAAAGGGTTGAGGTCAATAGTAGACAGTTTAAGGTTGAAGTTTTGGGGGTTTGGGGAAGAAACCACAGAGTCAGGTAGAGTATTCCAGACATTGACCACTCTGTTGCTGAAGTGGTATTTCCTGCAGTCAAGTTTGGTGCGGTTAACCTTGAGTTTGTATCTATTGTGTGTTCTTCTGTTGTTACGGTTGAAGCTGAAGTAGTCATTGACAGGTAGGACATTGCAATGTATGATTTTATATACTATACTTAGATCGGACCGAAGACGGCGTAATTCAAGGTTTTCTCGGTCTAGAATTTCAAGTCTGGTGGCATAAGGTATTCTGCAATGAGTAGAGGAATGGAGAACATACACACACACACACACACACACACACACCATTTACATTTTGCACTGTCTTTTATTCCTGGTACCAAACCAAACATACAGTTTTTCCCAGACTGCAAAGTATTCTTTTTCCTCCCTTCTCCTGCAATTCCATTGTAAGTTTATTCATTTCTGCACAATCCATACTTTTCATTATTCTAGCTGCTGTCAAGATGTGCATTATTATATATTCAATATCTTTCTTGTAATCACCTCTCATTATCCCTAGTAAGAACATTTCAGGCTTAAGTTCTGCTTTTAAACAGATTATTTATTGCAACCAGATCCTTATTTTTTTTCCAATATATTTTTATTTATGAATAAATATTTTCAAAACAGTGTGCTGTCCAGGCCAGCAGCTTCTTCAAAGTAGAAATGTGGCACTTGGGTAAAGACAGATTTGTAAAATGAAGAAAAAAGGCCATCTTGAAACAGAAGGTATAGTACACCTTTTCAGAGAGAGAGAGAGAGAGAGAGAGAGAGAGAGAGAGAGAGATACACATACACCCACACACAAACACACACATATATATATTTACATAAAAGTCAAAGAGAAATTTAAAAGAGAAAAGAGAAAAGAAGAGGGGAGGGGGAGGAGAGGAAAGGAGATGGAAAGAAAGAGAAAGAGAGAGAAAGATGGAAGGAAGGGAGGAAGGAAAAGAAAGAAAGAAAGAAAGAAAGAAAGAAAGAAAGAAAGAAAGAAAGAAAGAAAGAAAGAAATTAAAAAATAAAGAAATAAAGAAATAAATCAACCATAAACAGCATTATTTTTCCAGCAAATGCTGGAATAAGCCAGCAAGTGAGTTATATTGACTTACAACTATAATTGGGACCAGAAAATTCATCATTAATTGATGCGGTCATTAAGCGAGACATCAAATGGCCATGATAGTATTCCCTGTCAGCTTCCCCAGTGACTTTGCTTCAAGGAAATCATTTAGGAAGGCCCCCAATAGCCAACACGAGATCCAGGGACCCTGCAACATTCATGAAGGTTAGCCAGTTTCCTAGTGATCGTGTAATCACAGGGATGTCCAATGGTCGTAAGCGCGAGGACTGGGTGTAAGTCCCTTTTCTTCAGTGCCATTTCAACATCTGCTCAACAGTTGGGTCATAAGGCAAGGACCACCTCTAACACGAGAGGCAGCCACTCAGTTCCAGCGGACGAAGTCTTCCAATCCTTTTTTATGTCTTCCTCCATTTTTCCCCGCAGATCCGCTTACCGGCCCGGGGTGAGCAGGATCAGCTCCCGAGTCCTGCTTCGGTTCCCCCAAAGAGTGAAGAATCAAGGAACGGTGGACTTCCTCCCAGTGAAGCCGCGACACCAGTGGGAGTGGCACAGCTGTCACCAGTAAGTGAGCCTAGCGGCGTGGGGACGATTGGGCGACGAGATTGACTCGTTTATGTTTAATATATATATATATATATATATACCAAGAAATAAAGGGAGACTAAGGTAAAGGTAGGGACGTGATGGCTCAGTGACTAAGATGCTAAGCTTGTCAATCAGAAAGGTCATGAGTTCGGCGGTTCGAATCCCTAGCGCCGCGTCATGGAGTGAGCTCCCATTACTTGTCCCAGCTTCTGCCAACCTAGCAGTTTCAAAGCATGTAAACAAAAGCAAGTAGAAAAATAGGGACCCCTTTGGTGGGAAAGTAACAGCGTTCCATGCGCCTTTGGTGTTTAGTCATGCCGGCCACGTGACCACGGAGACGTCTTCGGACAGCACTGGCTCTTCGGCTTTGTAATGGAGATGAGCATCGTACCCTAGAGCCAGAAACAACAAGCACGCATTAGTCATTCCCGACTCTAGGGTCCTTCCAGCCAATGTAGAAAATTCCTATTGGGGCCTCATGGAGTTCCAGGCAGTCCTCGACTGATGTCAAGGAAACCAGTTGTTAAGTGAGTCGCACTCAGTTTGACAACCTTTTTTGCCATGGTTGTTAAGTGAAACATTATAGTTATTAAATGAATCAGGCAGATGTTAACACTGCTACCATCATAAATACATGCCAGTGCCTAAATTCTGATCACATGGCTGTGGAGATGCTGCAATGGTCATAATTGTAAGGACCTGGCTATAAGTCACTTTTTTCAGGGGTTTTAGCTTTGGCCGGTCGCTAAAAAAATTGTTGTAAAATGAGGACTTTGCCTGCAGCTTCTAATAACCTTCTTTCTTTCAGGCATTATCATAGCATGGAAGCCTTCAGCAACTATGACCTTCTGGATGCCGTCTCCCATGAGAAGGTGGCGGAAGGTCATAAAGCCAGTTTCTGCCTGGAGGACACTTCTTGCGATGCCGGGGTCCGTCGACGCTATGCGTGCACTGCTCATATTCAGGTATGCAATGGCTGACTGGATCTGCCCACCTCCACAAGCCGCGGTGCTTATCCATTGTATATAGATTTTATTAGCTTATAAAATGTTCGTCATAATCCCTTGTGGGATGAAGTCTGGACAACTGAATGGAGCTGAGTGTTTCCTGGCCGATACCTTTCCTGTCACCAATGTGGAGTTTTGTTCGGCGGATATATTTTCATTGGGCCCAGAGAGAGAAATATCTGCCTCTGTCTAGGATGGAACTCACAGCCTCCTGATTGTGAGGCAAGAGCTAGGCCACCTCTAGGCCACCACACCACTCTTATTAGCTTATAAAATAAAATAGAAAAATACAAAAGCAAATAGTAGGGAACAAAGGAGAGGGAAAGAGGAAAGGGGAAGTGTAGAAAAGAAAGGGAAAATTGTGTTGACTTCCAGTCTCCCTCTGGTGCAGTAGAATAAGACAGTTACCTCAAAACCTCAACATTTTACTTTTCCATAACAGTATACACTAGCCCCATGATGTTGAACCTGTGGCACGCAGACCCATTTGGGTCGGCATGCGAACTGCAGGCAAACTTACCTCACTGGGCATGCGCGCGCCTCACAGCTGATTTTCGGCTGGTTTGAGGCTGTTTTTTGGCCTCCCAAAGGCTTGAGGAAGGCTTCTGTAGGCTCTGCAGGCCAAAAACTAGCCCCGTTTCGTCACTTTCTGTTTTTCCAAAAATACATGCGCATGCGTAGGGGGCATTGTGGGAGGTGAACATTGCCTTCTGGGTGCTGGCACGCGAATGTGAGCATACAAGCGCGCATACAATTTTTGGCACAGGAGCCCAAAAAGGTTAGCCAGCACTGCACTAGCCATTTCTGAATAACAAATCAATCTCATCGGTAAAACCCAAACTCAACGTTTCATTTGTTTTTTCCTCCCACCTCGAGCACAAAGTCCATAAACGGTTTCCACGTAGAAACAACGTAGTTGTGATTTTTCTTTGATCAAAATGGCCAATTCAGACATCTCTGCTCACTCCATCAAAAGCCGCAGTGATTATCCATTTTATATAGATTTTATTCGCTTATGAAAGAAAATAGGAAAATACAAAAGCAAATAGTAGGGAACAAAGGAGAGGGAAAGAGGAAAAGGGGAAGTGTTGGTAAGAAGAGGAAAGGCGCTGCGGGGGGAACAGCATTGATTTCTGGATTCCCTCTGGTGAAGTAGAATAAGACAGTTACCTCAAACCTCCACTTTTTACTTTTCCACAATATTATAAACTAGCCATTTCTATTAACAACCAATCAATTTAAATCCAGGGTGTCAAATTCAAGGCCTGTGGGCCAGATCCAGGGCCACTCTGGAAACAGTGAAGGACCAGCCCGTGGTGCCTCTGCTAGTGAAAATGGAGCTCGGGAGGACCGCATGTGGCCCTCTGAAGGCTCCGTCTTCGGCGCGACGGCCTCCTGCAGCCCTCTGCCAGCAAAAACGGAGCTCACGCGCAGGGGGGGGGAATTCTTGGAGTTGAAGTCCACACAGCTTCAAATAACCAATGGAACAGAAGTTGCCTTCAGAAGTTTCATCCCTGGAAACTTTCAAGAAGAGACTAGACTGCCATCTGTCAGAAACGGTGTAGGGTCTCCTGCTTGGGCAAGGGTTGGACTAAATGACCTCCAAGGCCCCTTCCAACTCTGTTATTCTGTCATTTTTAAATTGCTGAAGCAGACTTGAGGCGAAATTAGGTTTATCGTAATTCTGCTTTCCGCTGGTGGTTTGTAGCTGCCTAGAGTTTGTGTGTAGGACTGGCGGCCATATGCGATTCCTCCATAAATAGAAATAAATGTCATTTTTCCCCCTCTCTCCTCAGGGTCTGAGCCCAGGCTGCTACGATACCTACCATGCCAATATTGACTGCCAGTGGATTGATATTACCGATGTCCCTCCTGGAAATTATATTCTCAAGGTAAATCCTCATCATCAGTGAATTTTGTCCCATTGTTATGACCTTTCTTACCACGGTTGTTAAGCAAACCACCGCCGTTTTTAAGTTGGAAACACGGTTATTAAGTGAATCTGGCTTCCCCATTGACTTTGCTGGTCAGAAGGTCGCAAAAGGGGATCAAGTGACCCCCAAAATTGCGACCATCGTAAACACAAGTAGTCCTCGACTTACGACCACAACTGAGCCAAGAATGTATGTGACTAAGTGAGCTTTGCCCCATTGTATGAATTTTCTTGCCACTGTTAAGTGAAACACTGCATTTGATAAGCTAGTAACCCGGTTGTTAAGCGAATCCGGCTTCCCCATGGACTTCGCTCATCAGATGGTCACAAAAGGGGATCACAGGACTCTGGGACACTGCAACTGTCATAAATATGAGCCAGCTCTCAAGAATTCAAATGTAACTCATCTGACCACAGGGATGCTGCAATGATCATAAGTGTGAAAAAACAGCCATAAGTCCCTTTCTTAATCGCCACTGTAACTTCGAATGGTCACAAAACAAACTGTTGTAAGTTGAGGACTACATGAGCCAGTTGTGAAGCATCCGAATTTTGATCACATGACCACGGGTTGCCACAGGCATAAGTGTGAAAAACGGTCATAAGTCACTTTTTCCGGCATCCGTTTTACCTTTGGTCACTCAGTGAGCTGTCGTAAGTTGAGGAGTACCAGTTTTGCCCTAATTTTGAGCCACTATCTGTTGCGGGTGATGAGGACAAGGATAGTCCTGAGCAAGAAGGAAAGACCACCTCCGGAGGCCAAGGGATGGAGCGTGACAGATTTCTTGTCCTTCTTTTTTTGAGGTGACCGTCAACCCTGATTTCCTGGTGGCTGAGTCGGACTTCTCCAACAATGTTGTCCGGTGTGATATTATGTACACAGGGGTGTACGTCGACACACACAACTGCCAAATTACAAGGTATCCCCAAGGGCAATACGACTTAGATTGGCGGGTTGAATCATCGGGGTCTCCCGCGAGGGGAGGGAGATCAAACCAGGCAAGATGGCGGAAGCGTCGTTACCACCCAAGCCCCACCTCCTTGTGCGGGAGTTTACAAAAGGGTCGGAGTTTAAATCTCAAGGCTTCATTGGCCCTCTTCCTTTTTCGGTCTCTTCCTGGAGACATCATTCATGGTAAGACCTAGAACCCGTCTTCATGATATCTAAGGGTGATGTGGAATGGGTTCCCCTGGAGATTCCCCACACACACAAAATTGAGGGGACAGTCTTGCCTTCAAGATGCAAGGCCTTTTGTCAAGAGACAGGAAACAGAACAATGGAGGAAGAAATCCGAGATAGTGTTCTGACCCAGTTCCACAAACACAACAAAGCCTCTGATATGAACTCAAAAGATTCCTATATTAGGAATGCCGGCAAACCCTGGCAAAAAGTTTTACTTGGCGGCCAGAAGATGAATAGTTATCTGCCAAACCTATTCATCTCCGCCCCCTGCCTTTTATCCCCAGAGCTAGGGTGGGGCTTCGCTAGCAGCAGTAGCTCTTCTTGTCCCAAGGACCGGCCCATAGATTTCCACTGCTCTCCTCTCCTTTGCCTTCTGAGTATCCACACGTCAGGCACTGGCTGTTCCTCCTCTTCCTCATCAACCACCTCCAGATCTGGGGGCTGTTGACTCTCCATCTGAGGGCTGACAGAAGGCCCAGGGTCCTCCCCCCCCCCTCTCTCTCACACACACACACAATTCCACTCCCTCTTTCCCCTCGGAGCTCCTGAGTTGCCATGATGCTGACTCTAACTCCCACTCCGCCTCCGCCTCCTCCTCCTCTGCTTCGGCTGCTGGAGGGGCAGGTGGCGGGTAGAAGTTGCGTTGACATGCGACTTCGGGCATCTTTGTGGACCTTGGTGACAGAAAGGCACAACTGGCAAGATGGAGTCGGCGGTCCCAGGAATGGAGGGCAAGGCATGTGCTACAGAGGAAGAGAGCGCCTGGAAGGATACACCTCGTTTGGTACACCTTATGAAAGGAATTGAGTGAGAAAGTAGAAAGGAAGGAGAAACACAGAATATTTTACATAGGGAGAAGCCCAGGTTAAGATAGTGTATTTCCTCCTGGACATTACAGAAATGTAACTTGTAATTTCCTTCCTTCTTTCCCTTCCTCCCTCTTTCCTTTCATTTTTTCACTTTTTTCTTCTGTCCCTTTTTCATCCCTTTCTTCTTTCTTTCTCATTCATTTATCCATCCCTTCTTTCCTTCCTTCCTTTGCGCTTCCTTTTCTCATCCATCTATCCCAATCTTCTTTCTCCTTCCTTCCTTCCTTCCTCCCTCCTTTTTTTCTTTCTTTCTTATCCATCTATATCTTCTTTCTCCTTCCTTCTTTTCCTTCTTTCCTTCATTCATTCATCTCTTTCATTTTCTTTTTTTATCCATCTGTCTCTATCTTCTTTCTCCTTCCTTCCTCACCCATCCATCACTTCCCCTTTTTCTTCCCTCCCTTCATCCTTTCTTCCTTCTTTCATCCATCTATCCCTTCCTTCCTTTTTCTCATCCATATATCCCTACCATCTTTCTCCTTCCTTCCTTATCTATCACTTCCTTTTTCCTTCCTTCCTTCCTCCCTCCCTTCATCATTCCTTCCTTTCTTCCTTCATCCATCTTTCCTTCCTTTCCTCTTTATCTACCCACCCTTCTCTTCCTTCCTCTTCCTTCTCCCCTGCCCTCCCTTTTCTCCTTTCCCCTACCCCTTTCCTTCCCTTCTTCATCCATTTACTCCCTTCCCTTTCCCCTTCCCCCTTTCCTCCATCTATTTACCTCCTGACCTGCCAGCAGTTTTTGAAAAGAGAGCCCAAGAACTTGAGAGGCCTTTGTTTTCACCAAGGGCACCTGAATCCCAAGACATCCCATTCAACCTCAACTCTCTGCTGGAGAAGGAGGATGGAGCGAAGAACCAAGAGGTCATCTGGCTCGACCCTGGGCCCACATTCTGGGGCGCAGAACCAAACCCTTGCTGGCACCTTCGCCCATCCGTAGGAAGCAATCGCCTTCAAAGCTCATTGAAGTGAAAACGAATGAGCCTCTCACCTTTTCCCCCTCCCCTCATATTACTATGAATATCCTGCAAAAATAATTCCATAAATATCTCATGGCTATAGCAAACAACACTCATTTGCATTTCAAAAGGGGGCGGGGCTTCAATCAGGTGCTTGTAGCCGCCATTTTGACTTTTTTGATACCCATAGGCACCCTGGCCCTTGGTGTAAAGGGCCGAGCTCCTTCCACACCTGTTTCACCAGGCTTAATAGCAGTAACTGTGAGAGGGATCTTGGAGTCTTAGTGAACAATCAGTTAAATACGAGCCAGCATTGGCATGGGCAGTGTGAAAAATAACAAAACAAGAGTTGGAAGGGACCTTGGAGGTCTTCTAGTCCAGCCCCCTTCTTAAGCAGGAGACCCTATCCCATTTCAGACAGGTGGCTGTCCAGTCTCTTCTTAAAATTTTCCAGTGTTGGAGCACCCACAACTTTTTTAAAAAAAATAATTATTGGTTTTTAAAAACAAACAAAACATTAAAACATCAAGCTATCTTCCATAGGTGTGCATACAGTTGGTTTACAAATTGTTTTGTGCTTCCATTTCATAGTCTTCAATTACAGTTACATTGCATATGATCTCATATTGTCAATCAAAAATTAAATACCTTAGTATCATTATTAATCAATCATTTGACTATACTTTTATTCATTCATGTTTTACAGGATAGCCATAATTTACTTAGTTTATTTTATAACAGTTCATATTATCATCCCAAATCTATCCTAAAATCATTTTGTAGATATAATAAGAAAAAAGTACATCTTTATATATTTATTATTTTCTAAAAGTCTACGTATTTCATTGCTGTATTTTATTGTCTAACCATGATAGAATAGATCCCCAATTTTATAAAATTGTTTATCCTCTTGTTCTCTAATTTCAAATGTCAATCTACTCATTTCAGCACATTCCAATATTTTCTTAATGATTTCCTCCTGTGATGGTATTTTCTCATTTTTCCAGTTTTTAGCAAATACAATCCTAGCCGCTGTTAATACATTTACAATCAGGTATTTCAAATCTTTACTATATATTTCAGGTAAAATTCCCAATAAAAATATCTCTGGTTTCAAGTCTATATGTTTTTTTGTCATTTTTTTCCAACCACAGGTGGATTTTAGTCCAGTATTTTTTAGCATCCGCACAAGTCCACCACATATGGTAATATGAGCCAGGTATCTGATGACATTTCCAACATTTTTCGGATTTATTCTTGAACATTCTTGCTATTCTTGTCGGGAGGGAAAATGCCACCTGTAAAACATCTTATACCAATTTTCTTTATATGCTGTTGACATTGTCGTTTTATAATTTTGAGACCACAATTTTTGCCATTGCTCTAAATCGATCCCATATCCAAAAATCTTCTCCCTGAGCACCCACAACTTCTGAAGGTGAGCTGGTTTATTGTTCTTTCTGTCAGGAAATTTCTGAATTCCAGGTGCTTTCTCTCCTTGGTTATTTTCCATCTGTGGTTTCTTGTCCTGCTTTCTGGTGCTTGGGAAAATAAGTCGGCCCTTTCCTCTCTGTGGCAGCCCCTCAAACATTGGAACACTGCTGTCATGTCACCCGCTGGTCCTTCTTTTCATTAAGACTAGACCCGTGTTGGCGAACCTATGCCACATGTGCCAGAAGCGGCATGCAGAACCATTTTCCCTGGCACGTGAGAGGTCGACTGGAAGAGCCCCACTGCGCATGCGTGTGCACCGTTGTCCAACAGCTGATTGTCGGGTATCTGGCGTGCATGCACAGGGGGCGGAGGGGGGTTGCGCATGAGACGCACATGCATGCACAGAGGTGTGCAGGGGAGGAGGGGGGAATCTCGCATACATGCACTGATGGGGTGGAATTGCATGTGCATGCACAAAGATGTGTGGCACACGGGGAATCGCACACACATGTGCAGACATGTGGCGCATGAGGGAATCGTGCACACATGCACAGACTTGCGCCGCATGGGGGGGTCATGTGAGGATGCACAGGGGGTGTTGGGAGGGGCCAGCACACATTGCCTTCTGGGTGCTGGCACAGGAGCGCACGCAATTAATTACCGGCACGGGAGCCAAAAAACGTTAGCCACCACTGGACTAGACGTACCCAGTTCCTGCAACCGTTCTTCATGTTTTAGCCTCCAATCCCCTAATCCTCTTCGTTGCTCTTCTCTGCACTTTCCAGAATCTCAACATCTGGTTTTATATTGTGACCAGAACTGAATGTCGTATCCTAAGTGTGACTTCACTAGGACAGGCTAGGGCGGTAGTATCCCTTCTTATGGTCTTGATACTATCCCTCTGCTAATGCAGTTTAGGATTGTGTTGGCTTTTTTGCTTGCCCCCATACGCTGCTGGCTCATACTTAAAATGATTGTCCACTCCCAAGATCCCTTTCACAGTGACTGCTCTTTGGTTTTTCTTGCCTAAGTGTAAAACCTTGCTTTTTATCATCACCGAATTGTAGTTTGTGGGATAGGCCCTGCCAAGAACCTTCTGCCTCTTCTACAGTATGTATTTCCCCCCTACAACTTCGTGTTGTCTGCAGTCACAATTCCACAGCCAAAGAAGTCTATTTGCCTGAGAAGCGACTGATGGGCCAAGCAGATTTCCAACTGAAAAGTTTCTACTTGAAGCCTTCCCTGTTTTTTTTTTTTTTTAACAGGGATGAGAGATTCCGAAAAAGGTTGATTCTCTACTGAAATTCTTGGGCTTTTACAAGGTTTTCTGCCCAGAAACGATTGGCTGCAAATACGACTTTTCCCTCAAAATAAGACTCAACTGGAAAATAAGCCCTAGCATTTTTCAGAATGTTCCTTATATAATTATAATATATATAATGATGGAGCCTCGGCAGTGCAGTCGTTACGGAGCAGTACTGCAAGCTACTTCTGCTGCAGCCAGTTGCCTGCAATTTGGCAGTTCAAATCCCACCAGGCTTAAGGTTGACTCAGCCTTCCGTCCTTCTGAGGTGGGTAAAACGAGGATCTAAAATTGTTGGGGACAAGAGGCTGACTCTGTAAACTGCTTAGAGAAGGCTGGAAAGCACTATAAAGTGGTATATAAGTCTAAAGTGCTATTGCTATTGCTGTAAGTCCTACCCCAAAAATAAGCCCATTAAGATCGTCAGCCAGATGGATGCATTTTAGTACCGTATTCCCGCCCCCCAAAAATGAGATCTAACTGGAAAATAAGACCTAATGCGTCTTTTGGTGCAAAAAATTAATATAAGACCAGGTCTTATTTTGGGAGAAACCTGGTCATAAAAGCTAAACTCCCACCTCACAATACGGGCTTGCCTTCTTTAGCCTCCTGAGGCTCTCTTTTTCCATCTGCAACTAGTCCTGTTCCAAGCAATTTAACAAAGGCCCACCAAAACAGAGCAGGAATTCGGAGCCCGGGTGCAAATTCTAGCATAGCTATAAGACAGGATTTGCAAGGACAAAGATTGTCAATAGTAGTGTAACCAGATAGCATGTTTGTGGGCCTGTGTATGCGTGCAGACACGCATGCGGGGTGCACTTGTGGCACTTAGCTGCTCTGTTAAAAAAGCAAGCAGTCTCCTTTGGCTCCATCCTTCCATCCTAGAGTTAGGTGTGATCAATGCAACTCATATAATGCACACAGATTTTTTATATTTGCACCTAATAGATATATACTTGAGCCGCATCTCCATTTGTTTAATTTGTAACCCGTCTTTTATTACAGTGTTTTTACGAATAACTCAAGGCTGTTTTGGCCTATCTGGCACACTTTCCTTCTTTTCTTTTCCCCACAACAACCCTGTGATGTGGGTTGGGCAGAGAGGAATGGATTGGCCCAAGGTCATTCAATTGGCTTTCATGCCTAAGGTGGGACTAGAACTCCACGTTTCCTGGTGATTGGCCTGAAAAGTCACTCATGGCGGCTCTCATGGCTAAGGTGGGAGTATAACTCCACATCTAGTGATTGGCCCAAAGTCACTTCACTGGCTTTCATACTTAAAATGGGATTAGAATTCACTGTCTCCTGGTGACTGACATGTCACCCAGCTGGCTTTTACACCTAAGGTGGGACTAGAACTCCCCATCTCCTGGTGATTGGTCCAAAGTCGCTGTGGAGGAAGAGGAGCCGGAGCTGCAACCCAGAGATTGAGGGAGGGAGGAGCAGGCCGAGTCATGTCAGGGCCTTTCAGGATTGGACTGGCTTGTAGGCAGGGAGGGACAGGGGTAGGACAACCGGGAGAGGGCAAGCAGTGAACATTAGGAGTGAAAGAGCTCAGGCAATGAATAAGGACCACCACCCTCCCGATCCCTGAGCACGGAGAGTGGAGCGAAGGCGGGAACAGCGCAGGCTGACCCGATGACTCGGGAGAGTGCCCCGCCCCTCTTCACAAGGCACACCTGGGGACTGAGCCTTAAGGAGACGCTGTGGGGAGGGACACTAAACGGGAACAAATGCTGAATTCGTGGAGTATTGTGTGCCGTTGCTGACGTTTGGCGTTTCCTGCGCTTCTCGCTTTAATTCTTGCTTCCTGGATCAACTGCCTTGTTCCTTTGCTTCCTGGACTCATTGACTCCGTGCCTTGCCCCGGGTCATCACACAACGGTTCTCTACGGGCTGGTTTTTCAAAAATATAAATAAAATAAAACCCAGAAGTTAAAAGTGCTTATGTAGCACACATCTTCCCCTCTGCATGCGTTGGAAGCCAGGAATTCTTAACTGCTAAAAAGAAGGCTACAAAAAATAAGATGCTCCCTCAGCATAGGCGACCAGCTTCGGAAAAAAAAGAGAAAATAAATTTGCGCGAAGAAAAGAAGGTTTAGATGTGGCATCAGAAGCGCAGCCAGCCTGGCTGACCGAAGCCTTAAACCAGTTTTTAAAAGACAAGCCAACGTTTCCAAAAAAAAGAAATTCGGCGTTATTTATTCATTGGTCGAAGGAGCGCTAAGCCATTCCCACTCAAGAGACAGTCCCTGGTTTGAAAGAGAGGGTCAGAATTTCTAAATATTTTGGATCCCAAGGAAAGCCCTCCAAAGCAAGTGGTGAAATGCTACCGGAACCGGTAGCGAAACAAATGCTACCAGTTCGGCGATGATCACCTAAGAGGAGAAAAGCGCATGCGCCTTTATCTTTTTTATCCTCTCAAGCTGTTTGGCGTGGCAGAGCCTCAGCTGGTGTTTGGAAAGCTGTGCGCGCACGCAAAGTGCGGGATCACCAAACGGGTAGGGAAACTGGTAGAATCCCACCAACGGCTCCGAAGCAGGATAGTTCAAAGGAACAGAAGCGAGATGATACCAGTTTGATAAATACATTAAATTAAAATGAAAGTTGGTGGGAGGTGGATCTCTCCCCACACCTCCGACCCCCTGCTGGACTGTCTCGACCACTATTCCCAGTAAGACCAGTGGCTCCCAGTAAGGCCTGGTATTAGATTCATCCCCACCCAAATGGTAAATCGAGATGATGCCAAGTTCACTCAAGGAACCGTCGTGAGGTGGGTGTTCTGTCTTTTTCTTTCTTTCTTTCTTTCTTTCTTTCTTTCTTTCTTTCTTTCTTTCTTTCTTTCTTTCTTTCTTTTTTTTTGGCAAAAAGTTTACTCGCGGACCACCGAAAAACAAAAAAACCTGCTGTTCCCCAACACGGAAATTAAAATACACAAACTTAAGGAAACGGCGTCTTGCGACCCGTCGGAAGTCCAAAAGAACAGGGCAGAAGAAGATAAGACTCCCTCCACCCCACCCTCCCGGTGAAAAGTAAAATCTTAAAACCTGGTTTTAAATAAATGTGGGTTTGTTTTAAAGGTTCTTGGCCATTCTGCCTCTGCAACCCGGCTTAACGGGTGAAGCTCTGCCATTCTTCACTTCTTTGGGGTGCCTTTGGGTGGCCACAATTCAAGAGAGACGCCCTCCCTCCTGAAATCCTTGCAAAATTGGTTTTTTCTGGAAATGCCCGCCCGCCCTCGCCCGACCCAACTTGACTTCTAGACCCCAGGAATCCTGGTTAATTCTCGACAAAAGATGGGCTGTCCTAGAGGAGTTGAGTTAGAAAGTCATGCCCCTCTGGGGTTGAGGATCACGTTTGCAGAAACTCAACATCCATGAGAATAGATCTTCTCCCTGACCCTCTGTAGCAGGAAAACTCTTGCAGGGAGAACGGTTTCCGGATTATCTCCGAAGTTTCAGGTTCTCAAGAAAGCGTCAGCCAGTGGGGAAAAGGGGGCGTCCCTGGTGGCCGAGAGACCCTCTTGCTGACTCCTGCTGGGGTCTGCATTTCATACGTGTCCCATCCCACCTCCAGATGAAGGAACGTGAAAGTTGTCCGCATGCACAATTTTTTTCCCTCCATGCGGGGTTACTAGCAGAAGCGTTGCATGATGGGAACATGGAATTTTGGAAATGATTCAACGGGGGAGAAGGAGCCGGTGGGTTTCCTGGCCTCTGGAAGGATGGGTAGGAGAATCTAAGATGGGTTGACTTGACCGAGAGGAGATGACCTTCTCCCACTTGATCAGAAGGCGCCATTAGCGAATTCCACAGTCGTCTTCTCCGACCTGTAGCTTCTCCAGCTCCACCGAACGGACCAGCTCCTGAACAAACTTCATCTCGGAGGCCATCTGCTTGGCGAGGGCCTCGTAGCGGTTCTCCAGCTTCCGGAGGTGCCGTTTCAGCCGGTTGGCCGCCAACGAGGTGCTCTTAGCTTCTTCCTGAGCTTGCCGCTTGAGGGTCTCCGTCTTCTGCATCTCCTGCTGGATTTGACGGAGGTCCTGACTGATGGCCTGGTTCTCCTCCTTGTACCACAACTCCTTCTCCTCATAGATGGACCGTAGGGCCTCGATGTCCTCCCGGAAGGACTTCTTACTCTGCTGCAGCTCCCGCAGACTCTCCTCGGCCACTGCCACCTCTTCCATGACCTTGGAGAAGCGTTCGAAGTTGATGTAGGTGTTATTGGGCGGCATACTGGAGTGAGACTTGATGGTGTACTCCTTCAGCCGTGTGGTCTTCAGGCGCCGTCGCTCTGGCTTCTTGCCGTTGTCTTCGTTGCGGACGTTCCTCCTTTTGATCACCTGATTTTAAAAAAAGGAGAGGAGATCTCAGGATTGGTGGACTTGTTCATCCCTCTCCTCCCCCACCACCCTCATGATCTCATCAACCGTTTTCTGAGAAGCTCCATTATAGGTAGTCCTCAATCTACAACCCCAATTGTGCCCTAAATTTCCCTTCCGTTCTGTCATGCCCCTGTTGGAGTCTGATTCCGAGGGGGAGGTTGAACAGCTGACAGGAAGTGGGAGTGTGGCTCCGGTGGCGATGGAGGAAACTGGGGAAGGGCACAGTCCGGCTGGGTCTTCAGAGGAAGACCCAGGCCCACCCACCCCTCTTCATCCTAGGGCACGCAGGGAGGAATGGAGAAGGGAGCAATGTGAGTTGCGTGGTTTATGGGGGAGGAAAGGGCCCCGATTCCCTTCATTAGCTGCAGCTGGGGAAACAGTATTTAAAAAGGGCGTTTGCACACAGCACCTTGCTGGAAGCAAAGCGTGCATTATCTTTGTTTGTCAAGTCTTATCTGGGTTCTGGCGTCCTCCCAACTGTGTGTGTTTCATTATCATTTGAAGTCTGCAATTCCTTATCCTGCCCCGTCTCGTTAATTGCTGAAGCGTGGTTTATGTTTGTTTTTATTTATAATTTATATGTACAGTGGATTCGGAGAGGATATCTTCCCTTTAAAAACTGTTCTTGGGAGAGTTTTTTTTCTCCAGCCGAGGATAACTGGACATTGGGGGCCAAGATGGAGGAATTAAAGGGATTTTACCTACTTTTATGACTTTGTTGCTTTTGTGCCACACCCCTTTAGGTCAGCACACGTTCCTTTGCTAAGCAAGGTTATTTCTTAAGCGAACTTGACCCCGTTTTACAGCCTTTCTGGCCACAGTGGGGAAGTGAATCACTGCCGTTGTGAAGCGAGTCACACGGTTGTTAAGTGAATCTTTTTCCCCCGTGGACTCTGCTGGTCAAAAGGTCGCAAAAGGGGATCAGTCATCATAAATAGGAGTCAATGGCCAAGCATCTGAATTCTGATCACATGACCACGGGAATGCTGCAACGGTCGTAAGTGTGAAAAACATAGACCCATAGAGTTGGAAGGGGCCTGGGAGATCAAAGAGCTGTAAGGGAGCTGGGAGGTCATAGATTCCTATGGCCAGAAGGGATCTGGGAGACCATAGACTCATAGGGCTGGAAGGGACCTGGGAGGTCACAGAATCATAGATTCGTAAGGTGGGGCAAATGAACTTAAATGTCAAGAATTTTTTGAACAACGGAGTGTTTACCTTGATCCATGGATGTTCCAAACTTTGCTCAATTGTCATCCGTTTCCTACAATCATTACAAGGAGCAACAGTCAATTCTAGGATCGATGCAAAATATACGGGGTTAAAAGGGAGAGTGAAATTCCATTCTTGCCGGTTGCAGAGATCCTAGCCAAACTTCAGCGTCCTTCTGGATCACTGACTCAGGACTGTTTTGGGAATATTGCCTGCGCACAATCACCTTTTCAGGAGGAGAAGGGAGAAAACCCAGGCCAAACTTCGGTGTGGCTTCCTTATTCCGTTCCCAATTTATATATTCAGCTTTTCGAGAGAGAGAGAAAATAAGACCATTGTGGGCCACACAGGATGGACTTTGTAATACTTGAAACATGGGGTTTTGTAGTACCGTTGCACGAATTTTAGGTCCAGATTTGTCCATCACCTTTATACTGCAGTCTTTCCAAGACTGGGTAGATACAATTAGTCCTGGATAGTTACAGTTAGACCTCCTCCTCCTCTTCTAGCTCCTCCTCCTCTTCCACCTCCTCCTCCTCTTCCTCCCCATGAAACCCAGTCCCTCCTAGCACTTATGATGCTACCTAGTTTGAGCAATGAAAACAAGCAAGCTCAGAGACCACCAAGAACCTCGCAATCCTCCTCCTCCTCCTCCTCTCTCCACAAACTCCACCTCCTTCTAGCACTGATAATGTTCCCTAGTTGGGCTCTGAAACATCTGCCAGAAAACCACCGAGCCCAGAGAGCACCAAGAGCTCTTCCTTTCAACCCAGAGCTACAAATAATCTCCTTTATTGGTAACAGGTATTTCATATTTACAGGTAGTTCTTGCCTTGCGACCACAGTCGGGATCAGAAATCCTGACGCTAAGCGATGCAGTCATTCAGGGAGTCCTCATGTGACCTCCGCTGATATTATAAACTTTCTGCCATGGTCATTAAGCGAACCATGTAGTCCTTAAGCAAATCAGGCTGCCTGCAATGTCTTTGCTTATTTGGGAAAGTCGTAAATGGCAATCCCGTGACCCCAGAAGGTTGCAACCCTCGTGAATACCTGCCAGTTGCCAAGCACCTGAAAATTTATCACCTGACTGTGGGGGGGGACGAACACTGAGACGGTTGTAAGTGTGAGGACCTGTCGTAAGTTCCTTTAATAACTCCAAACAGGGGCAAAATAAATGGCCGTAAATCGAGAACTACCAGTATTTTTTGATGTTGATTCTTCTGCTGGATTCCAAGAAGGTCTCCATCGAATTAAAAGTCTCCCACCCCTCCTCACCCCATCGTCCCCCACCGTCCTCGCCTCTTACTTGGGGTCCTTGACAAGCAGTCTCCGAATGAAATCCTTGGCCAGTTCGCTGGTGTTGCTGAAGTATTCCTCGTCAAAGTCATAATTCACAGCCGAAATGTTGGTCAGGGTCTCCTGCTTCGTTTCCCCCAAGAAGGGGGAGGCGCCACTCAGGCTGAAAGAGGAAGGGTCCCACGTCACTCTTAAACACAGAGGCTCTTGCGACTTGGCAATAAGAAGCCCCCTACCCAAGCCACTTTGAGCTACAGCCAACTCGCAAAGCCAACTCGCCATGGCCAACCCACGATGACCAACTCGCCATGGCCAACCCACGATGACCAACGCGCAACAGCCAACTCGCCATGGGACAACTCACCAATGCCAACATTGGACAACTCACCAATGCCAACTCGCCATGGTCAACACACTATGGCCAACTCGCCATGACCAACTCACCATAGCCAATCCACCCAGGCCAATGCACCATGACCAACTCACCATGGCCAACCCACCATGACCAACTCACCACG